GTGCAGTGAAAGAATTGGGTGCAGTAGAATTGAGTCCTTTGAGTCCAGGGCTCCAGCAGGAAGAGGGGTACTCACATCAAGGGTAGTCACATTTCACAGAGTTCATTAATTTTAAGGAATGTTATTGTGAATACTTAGCATCTTTGGAATAAAGGCTGGAACCTTAAGTGTAATATGACAGTGTTTGGACTGACTGTAGGAATGCAGGTCACTGAAATTACTTAGTAACTTGAATTGCAGGTGCCCTGCTTGCATGCCTGTATTATCTGCAGTTGTTTTTATAGGTGATATTTTTAGCGCCCCCAAAAATATGTGGTTGTGAATTTGTCAGTTTAATGGTGTTTTGGAGAACTTGAATGAAGAAAAACACAGCACAGCAGTTAGTAAGTGTAGTGAGTCATTCTGAATAAAATAGGTTATTTCTGCAAACTTAATGCCACAGAACTTCTATTGACAGTAGCAAGCATTTTTGCAGAAGCTACACTTACTTAGCTTTCTAACCCTTTGTTCATGCATTTTAGAACCATTTTTCCTCTGTTTTGTATATATTTTCTTCTGTATTTTGCATGTATTTGCTAGTGCTAATCGTTTATTTTAATCTGCATTTAATAGTCCCTCTTTTAGACTTTAAATAGTATATTTCTCTTGTAATATGTATCTGCCCCTGATTTTTCCTTCTCGGACAATTTTTACATCTCTGACATATTTTTTTCAAGGATACTGTTTGTATATGTCTTTTTTTATTTCTTTGTACAAAACCAATCTCATAGATTCATATGATGTAGAATGTTCCTATCTTGTCACTGTGTTTCTGTTTCACTTCAAATGTTGAAATTTAGCGTGCTCTTCAAAATGGGGATGTAATTATTATAGAGACAGCTATTGCAGTACATCTTTGGGATGGACATGTAGAATGTTCAAACTCTAGAATTCAGTTTTCAGGTTTTAGAGTTTTCTGGGTTGTTTGAAAATTTCATTTTCTAACGCATGTTGTCACAGACATCTTTTTATGAAAATCCTTTCGCTAGGATTTTTTCCTCCTAAGAAGCTGAGAGGCCTCAGGGACAAAATGTAAACAATGATTATCTGCTGCTATGGAAGGCATCAGGTGGATTTTTGATTGGCCCATCTTAGATGTTTATAATTAATGGCCAATCAGCCCAGCTAGCTCGGCTCTCTGTCCAATGCACAAACCTTTGTTATTCATTCCTTTCTATTCTTAGCTTAGCTAGCCTTCTGAGATGAAACCTTTTCTTCTATTCTTTTAGTATAGTTTTAATGTAATATATATCATAAAACAATAAATCAAGTCTTCTGAAACATGGAGTCAAATCCTCATCTCTTCCCTCATGTGAAAACCCCTGTGAACACCATCACACCATGTGACTAAAATTAACTTCCTAAATATGAAGTGGGCAAAAACTCAGTTCAGAGTCAGAATATGCTTGTGTCTATAGCCTTTCTTTGCACACAGACATCACAGATGTCTAGTAGAAGTAAATCATGGCATGTGAAAGGACATTTGTGATATTCTTATAGTATAATGAACAAAGGGCTGGGGCGAAGGTCTCTGCAAAAAGAAAGCACAGAAAAGGAGACTAAAAGAGATGAGAGGAAAAGCAAATACAAGAGGATAAGAAAGAAGTGAAGGGAAAGAAAATGCTGAAGTAGTCTTTCAATAAGAATATGTTTTCCACTTGAAGATGTTGAATCTGATATATGGTACCAAACAGCTAATTAACATAACTAAAAGAGTTAAGAGCCAGTCCTTTTATTTACAGTATGTGGATGGGTGTTTGTACCTGTCCAGTGAAATACAGGAACAGAAATTCCTCCAGTGATCTTGATCTTCAGGATTGAGGCTTTGATTTTTCAGGTTTTAGAGTTTTCTGGGTACCCTATTGCTACTGAGCAATAGGGTAGCTTAGGTTTCACAGGATCTGTGGCAGTTGTCTACTTCAACCCTGGGTTCAAAACATGTCCAAAAAGAATGGGTTATTTTGGGCTGTGTGTCCAGGCTGTATCTCTGAGAATGGAGACTGTAGCTCTGGGCACCCTGGTAAAATACTGGACCATCATTATCCTGTCTGGAGTTGCTCCAGTATATGAATACCTTTCTTGAAGCATGAAGCCCAAAAGTGGACACAGTGATTTAGGTTTAAGCTCAGAAGTGCTGAGCAATTACTTCTCTTGGCCTGATGACAGCACATTGATAACGCTGCCCTGTATGTGATTGACCTTTCCTGCAAGGATAAAATGATACTCAAAGACTGACTAACACTCAAAGGATTCTCCAGCTCCTTATCTGCAAATCTGTGTTCTAACCAGTCTGTGCCACTGCACAAGGTTGTTCTAACCCATATGGAGACTCTACAGTTACTTCTGTTGAACTCCCTAACATTCCTAATGTCAGCCCATTTTCATCAAGGAATAGCTGAATGTGGTCCTGCTCTCCAAAGTATTGACTGCTCCCTCCAGTTTGATTTCACTCAGCAGCTTGCTGAGTGAGTGCACTCTGTCCCATCATCCAGGTTGTTTAATAAAGACAATAAATAGTGTTTATCCCAGTATGGATCCCTGAGGGAAGCTGCTAGTAAGTGGTTGCCCCTAAAGTTGGCGCTGCTGATCAGAATTGAGTCCTGCAGTGCAGCCAGATTCCCTCTAATCTCCATATGCAGTGCATATCTTCCCTGTTTTTCTTTAAGGGCTGAAGAAGAAACCAAGTCAAAGGCCATCCTAAAGTCAGAGTGTACAACATTTGCCATCTTCCCCTTCCTTATCCACAGCACCGGAGTCGCTCTTGGTAAATCCAGATGGGATATTAGCAGCTGCCTTGTCCATTGTAGCTGGCAATGGCTCCTAGGAGCTTTGCTCTGTAACTTTCCCAGGGATAGAAAGCCATCAGGATCCTCTTCTTGCCCTCCTTGAAGATGGTTGGGACACTTGTAATTATCCAGTCAGGAACCTGTCCTAATCACCATGATATTCCAGTGAGGTAGCATTGGCCACCTCCCTGAGAGCCCTGGGGTGCAGCCTATCTGGTCCTTTTGCCTCCTGTATGATCAGCTGGGCTCAAGAGCCTCCAAAATGTCTTCCTTCACAGCAGGTCTTGCTCCAGTCCCACAGGAGACTCAGGGACCTGCAAGGCCTGAGGGCAAAACTAACCATTGAAAACTGACCCAAAAAGACATTGAATGTCCTGGCTTTTTTCTTGTCCTTTGTCACTTTTTTCACCATTGGGTCCACATTTTCCTTGACCATCCTTTTGTTGTACTTTACTGTGTCAGCCATATTCTAGTATTATTCTGTGGATGACTTATCTGACAGAGCTGCTGACAGAGCAGCGTCCCCATATAGGTATTCTAAAAAAAGGCATTAGTAAACTATTGAAAGACAACAGAAAATAAAGGGAAATTTTCAAAGTACAAAATCATATAAAGAAAGTTGAGGGTGAAAGTTTAAAATTAACTGGAATGAATTTTCACATAGTGGAATTGCCTGTACAAATGAGTTTCACACAGCATTTTGAAGGGCATTAGTTTTCACATTTTAAAAAAAGATACCTGAATGGATATTTGGGTAATACCTATTTATATTAGATGTGAGCTCTGTCTAAAAAACAAACCCTGATTCCTTTAGGAGCATAGTTCTGTAGTTCCCATGAACGTACTGTTATAGCAGAAAAGGCCCATCACTCAGTTTCCTCCAGCTCCTCTAGGTTGGTGGGTACTGAGCAGTGTCAGACCCTGGACTTTGAATTTATCTGATAGCTACTCTGGACTGGGGTGGTGCTTTCTGTGGTCTCTGTTGACATAATTGGTGAGTACTAACATTTAGGGAACCTTTAGCATTCTCTAATCTCTTTGTAAAATGCACTTGCAGTTTTGGGAAATGCCTTTTTGTACTTTCCCATCTTATGATTGAGTGCACTCTTGCATGTGAAATCTCTGTCTCTGAGTCACTGTTTATCACAGGATCAATAAAACCTGAAAAGCATGCCACAGTTGTGGTATTCTCTTAATTTGGTCAGAGTAGGAAGAAATAATTTAAAATTACTTTTCTTAGAAAAGATATTTTTTCTTTGTTTTTCTTCTATCTTCACTTGTAAAACCTGATTTATTCAGTGAATATTGTCTACAGAGGAATAACTTCAGATGAAGAATAATTTTTGTATGTTGCTTTCTTATAGCATTTTGACTCTTAGAGCTTCAGTAATTTCAGTTTATTTCAAGAATGTGTTGTGTCTGTTTATACAGGTGTATTTTGTTTGTGTAAAAAGGATTATATGCAAAATTGAGTGTCTGAATGAAATACACTAGGTCATGTTCACAAGATCAGTCTAGGCATCTAGTCATTGTAAAAAGTGCTTGAAGTCTTAGATTCTATGAATCTCTGTCCAGTGATGGTTTGAAAACTTAAAAAACATCTTGTGTTGTGATTAGGATGAGGACCCTAAAGGAAGGCTTATTTGTAGGGCCATGAAAGTCACTGGCAAAAGGAAGTTCAATCAAACTGTCAGTATTCCCATTTTATATGCTGTACTCTATTGGCAGTCCTCTAACACATTAAGTCTGGGTAAATACCAGGAGCTTAGCTTCATAAGTGAAGTGGTTTCCTTAACCTTTTGAGAAAAGTAAAATCCTTACCATTTGTCCATTCAAATAGTATTTTATTCTGATGTAGGAGATTGCTGCTGTTCTTGTTGTGTGCTGTGCTTTATGGAAAGAATCTGCTATTAGATGAAATATGTTGCCTTCTCTTCTGCCTCCAGTCCTAATCATTGGGAAATAAAATACTTTTTGTCACTTGTTCTTATTTGCTAATGAATCTATTACCTAGAATGCCAGAAGTCACCTAGTGTTGGTTCCCAAGGAATACCTTTGTTTGCAAGGTGGTATAACATTTTGATTGTTATGTACTTAAAATTAAATCCTTTTGATTGTTTGACACTACTGTTGCTGGTATCACTCTTATAACCATCTGTACCTTTCTTTTTGCAGCTTGGGTCCTGTGTTCGCACTGTTTGTTCCATTTTATTCCTCCATTCCAAGAGTGCAGGTGACACAAGTATTGGGCTACTTTTCTATCACAAACAAGTCTCTGGTCTACATACTGGGTTTACAGGTATGGTATGTACTTGCTTGTTCATCTTTTAATAAACTAATAATGTTGTTAGTAGTTAGTATTTCTGTTTGTCTATGAATTTTAATACTTCCACATGCATGATTCAGCATACATTTAGGTAGTAACTATCCCATCAGCTAAAACATAGAGAATCATGTTTCTAGTATGCTGAAGTGGTGAGCAAGTGATCTGTTCTTACCTTGTCTTACATGGGAATATATGATAGACAATTCCACAGGTTTGGTTTTTTTTTTTGTCAGTAAAATGAATTAGACAAAAAGAGATTAAAATGGAACCTGATCCTAAAGCATTTTTTATCTTTTACCTTTCTAGTTTGTGGTAAGACTGTTAGTAAATAATCAAGGTTTTGTCTGAATTTCACTTTTATATAAATTAATTTTACTTGTATATCATGCATTGCCATGTGACAGATAATTTAGAATATTGTAACATAGAGCACAGCAACATCATGTAGTATTCTGTGAAATATGACTGGAAAAATATAGCTACTTGGTATAGAAAGCCAGTAATTATTCAAAAAACAATTAAAAAACTCCAAGACCCAGCAGCCTAGAAATGAATGGAACATTTGTGTCACAACCTGAATGATGAGATGTGCAAATTTATGAGAAATTATATTTTCTAGGGATTCAAAAGTAGCTCTGGCGTGTGCAATGGGGAATACACCATAGCTATGTGAAATATGGAAGAGAGTATTTTAGAATAAGAAGTCAGTTTCAGAATATTGACTTGTGCTCCACATGAACATTTCATTCATCCTCTTTCCTGTTCAGCCTTTGGTTTCCTTCAGTTTCTGCTCCAGCACCTTATTTTCTGGATCTCTCAGAAATCTTGTTTCCTCTCTTCTGAGCCCATCACTTGCACTATTATTGCAGTCTTTGGGAAAGCCATGCTAATGTGTGGGCTGTTTTCCATTGGGTCTTTTGCCTTTTGCTGTCGTGCACACAGCACGTCCAGCCCGGATCAGTGCTGTCACTGAGCCCTGTATCTGCGGGATCTCTGCCTGCTGAGCACTGAACCCTTGCTGCCATCACCCAGAGCCCGAGGGGAGACTCATTTGCCTTCTTCTCATTTGGAAACTCTGCCCTTATCTCAAGTTGCTGTTTCTGTAGTCTGAACTCTAAGAGGGAAGGTGTTCTCATGATTCAGTCAGCATCACGCAGAAACATTTTAGTCACCATTTTCAGTCCATTTTTTCCAGTTGGTAATAACCTTTTCCAGGTGATTAATCACATACTTTGCTAGAAACAATGGGCTGCCATGTTGACTTATCAGGATAAAAAAAAAAAAATTGCTCCAACTTATTTCTGTGATTTCATGTCAGCAAATATGTCACTGGGTAAGAACTTTCTTTCCTTAATTTTGATGCTGGTGCTTAGTCTTTCTGTGGCTGCATGTCTGAGAGCTTCACTTGGAGTGCCTGCCTGCTTGGAACTCTCCTGTTGCTGCTGAGTCATTTCCTTTGCTTCAGTCTCTCTTTCAGACCTGTTTTTCTGTGCAGCCTATAACTGACATCCTGTTATACTTAGTAAGCTATATGAAAATAAAATGTATTGTTCTCTAGAAGGAGAACAATTGTTGGATCCCTGTGTTTTTTCCACTTGCTCCTTCTGGAATACTTTTTTTTTTAATGGTAAACTGAATTTTAACAAAGGTAAACTCTGACATCTCCCATTGTCATGATGAGTGCATAGCCTATATCATATTGCAACTTAGTGGTCCATATAGCGAGAACTTTGTAAAATAAGAATTTAAATCCCTGCTCTTGTCTTCTAGCTCTTAACCTCTGGTTCCTACATCTGGATTTTAGCCTTAAGTGGATTGGTAAGTTACTGTTATAAAAATCATATGTTCCTTAAAACACTCTGTTATGTATATGAGCAGCACAGTATATTTGGACTCAAAAAGAGCAGAAGTTAAGTAGCATTTTATGTTGCTAACTAGAAAGTTTTCCTCTTCAACTTCTAAATATGTGAAGCACTGACTAGCTGGTGATAAACTGACAGACGACAAAATTGGTGGTTAATATTTTCAGGGTGCTGCTGCTCCCTGCATAAAATTAATTTTGTTGCCGTGGATATAGCTGTACACCCACAGCTATAAATGAGATTATTGAGGAAATGGTAGAAATGTGTACCCCAGGTTGAGGTTTGTTTTTTCCATTTTCAGCAAGCCTCAAGCTTTGATTCCAAAACTCAGGTTTTAATAACTTTGCTGTGAAGGTTTTTCATGCTTTGCTGTTCTCCAAGGAGATCTATAATATAGCTGTTTCTCACCATGACAATGGCAGTAAGGGCACAAAATCACGTTGCACATCAGTCAGATAAAGGAGCTGTGATCTTTTTCCTTTCTGACTCTGTTGTTGGTAAGTGCTGGAACAAACTGTACCAAATCTTTCAGATTGTTAGATACTGATAAGCTTCTTTTAAAATTTTACAGACTTAGAAATTAGGAGCTTAGGCTGATTTCTTGGCCCAAAAGACTGTAACCTTTTTCAACAGTGGGAGTGCCGCCACTTCCAAGGGAACTCATTATTAAGTTGATGGAGAACTCAAATTATGCCCTTGCTGTATAGAACCTACTAATTTGAATTTGGGTTGAGCTCAGAAGGAAATGCTGCTACAACTTAGTGATTTGATCTCTTACCATTTGCATTGACTGTGAGTTTCTAGGATAACTAATAACAGGAGCGTCAGAGCAGCAAACAGTGATGTCTGTTCATAATCTGATCTTGCTATAAATATCGATGAAAGCAGTGCAACTAACAAATCAGAATCTATCTCCCCTGGAAATCAGCCCAAGCCTCTGTGCCCACTGAAGGATCTGTGACTTCCTCCAAATACACTACCCTTCCTGTTACTCTGCTGGCTCTTTTAATAGCCCTTCCTTTCCAACAGGTGTTCATTAGAGAGGGAAGGAAAGGAAAGAAATGGAAAGGCATTTTTACTCCCTCTTTCCTGATGACAGAAGCTCTGTGTATACTTGATTATACAGACATATAAAGAGTAGCTCATTTTTTTTTCATAATACATTATACAGTTCTTATTTTAATTCCTTCTTAATGTAAAGTTTTATTTTTCTGTATAATGAAACTTGCTGAACTTCTGTAGTAATCTTTTTTATAAGTTATCTTTTTTTAAAATTTAAGATTGACAGTATGTTTTACTTGGGTGTAAATCCATAGGATTAAATTGAGTTACGTCTGTGTCACAGGATGGCTAAAAAATCATTTCAAGTTTTCATATTGCTTCAGTCAGCATTAATTAAGTCATCATCAATTATGACGTGTTTTCAGTCTCAGTTTTTTTCTGCAGCAAGCAGAGAGCTGCACTCCATGACTTTGTAAGAAGTGCTGCAGTTTGAAAAGAAATTTATATTAGGATTTTCTGCCATTTCTTTTGCATAGCATATCTGCCACATTCTGTGATTAAAAAGTCTCTTCTTCTCCTCTGTTAGAAATTATAATTTGGTGTCTTTTGCAAAAACTTGATAAAGCAATGAAGTTTCACGGTATATTAGATAATCTGAGGAAGGATATGCAAAACTATAAAGGTGCCGTTTAGCACTACAAGTGTAGTTGGTTGATAACATATGTATATGTACAATATGTACAGAAACAGATTGTCAAATTAATGTTACGTCATTCTGACAACCTATGTTATGTAATTCTTATTAGTCTTAACATTTTTCTAGCTTACTGCCTTAGTCTTTGTGGACTCAAATTTTCAGGTATTTGTACAGAAAGGATGAGTAAAGGCATGAGCACCAAGTCAGATAGGTGTAATATTTAGTCACTAGTTCATTGCCTGGTAGACACTTCACTGTATTTTAAGCACTGAAGATCACTTAGGCAGTCATATTGAGTGCATTATGATGCTGTTCTGTAATTTAGCTTTTGTTACTCTTCTGCTTATGTGGAATATTAAAATGGGTGGTGCCAGCACAATATCTGAGTTGTTATCAGTTTCCACTTTGTGTTCAGGATGTTCCTGGTTTAGATTTATTTAAATTCTCACAGTCTATATTTGAACGTGACGAAATGGGATCTGACTTTCTAGTTACATCCTTGCAAGTGTCATGAGACCTTCTTGTGAATTCTAGGCAGGGTATAGAGGTACTGGGAACTGTACTCCCTTGAGTTCTTGTTTTCAGTAGTTTTGAGTGATGCCATCATTACAGATATGCATGTGCGAGTCTATGTGGGTGGGTGGGCATTGATGTAATGTGCCTGGTGATAGGGAATTTTTCACAATTTGTAGTTTTGATGGTGAATTTTTCTCAGGTGCAGAAATTACAGCTCATGTTTTGTTATTGGAATACAGAAGGTCTGCTGTGGATGTCTTTGTGAAAAGGTATATCTTGCTGCATCTAATTTTAAACCAGCACAGGATTGTGGTCTTAAAGGCAGTTTCTTTACTGTCCACATGAAACTGGATAATCAATTATTGTGTTTTTGGTATGTCAGTTGGTATGTTGTATAAAACATGCTGTTTAAATACATGATGCTTATGTATAAGGAAAATAGAATTTATGAAGTAGACTGTAAAGAAATTCACAAATCTGATGTCATCAGTAATCTGTAATCATCTTATGATTGATAGGACTAATTTAGTTTCTTGTGATTTATTTTGCCAGGAATATACGATGCCTGGTGCATCATATGTTTCATATTGATAAGAGTTTTTTGGGGTTTGTGCCATAAAATTAGGAAACATACTAGAAATGCCCAAAATTCTTTTCAGTAGTTGTTTACAGAAGTGCCTCCATGTAGTGCATATCACTCAGTTTAGTGAAGGCTTGAAACAGTTTCTTCACTATTTTTTTTTCCTTAAAATAGTCATTGGATGTAGACATCTTCTCTCCCTTTTTTTCCCATCCCTTTAAGATCTTTTGGATTCCCACTTTACATTTTTCCTTGCCATACTTTTGTAGGATTGAAATTTGAGAGGTGTGTCAAGGCTCAGTCATAGCTAGAGCTCATCTGCTTAAAGAAGTCAGCTCAGGTTGGTGACCAGCAGAAGACATGTCCCATGAAGACATGCAGTTCCCTCCACTTTCTAGGATAGTGTCATCAGACAGATCACAGGCTGTGGGTTTTTCTGAGTAACTTAGGGCTATATTTGATAGGGGGAAGGTATCTTTCAGGCCCTTTCTGTGATTTTAGTGTTCTAGCCTTTCTTCTTACCTCGTGTTAGTTTTTTATTTGTTTGCAAGATGACCTGCACTGCATAAAGTTCAAAATTTGGAATCCACCAAGTCTCCTGTGAGGTGCCTTGAATTTATGTAGAGTTCAGTTCAAACCTTAGGAAACTGAAACTGAGAAGTTTCTAAAACCCTGCCTGACTTGGAGATTTCACTAAACAGAATGCAACAGTTTTCTGCATTGGTACTGTGCTGTGCTGGAATTTACTTTTCTCAGAATGTATGAAAAGTTGTGCTTTTTATATTTAGATATTGGAAAATGTAGAGAATCTGTAATTTAGAGCTTGTACTTTAATGGCTTAAGGTTAAGATAGAAAGTTCAGACAGTGTTGAGTGCATGATTTTAATTTCAGATCTGGTTTTTTGAGTACATTAGTTATTATTCATAATTTTGAAGTGGCTAACTTAGTTTTACATAGACTATAGATGCTGTTAAATGCTCCCAAGTGTACTTGGATTGTACTTTTGAGTTCTGTTTGTTAAGAACTTTATGCATCCTTTCTGTTAGTTGTTCATCCAGCTGAGGTGTTTTTGTATAGTGAATTCATGTCCTTTAGAATTGGCATATATAGGATAAAAAGTGATTCAGCTGGGGGAGCAAAATAATTAAACCAGACTTTAATTATTTTAGTTCCTGTCGTAAAAATAGAACTATGTAGCTAATATCTGATCAGATCAGATCTGATCAACTGATCAGGAATCATTGATTTTCTTATTGTTTTTCTTCCTCTCTCACACCTTTCTTAAGTGATTTTGAAGAATGCATGCTGAATTCTTTGTTGTTTTAAAACATTTTGTATTTGCATTTGTATTACCTCACAGTATAGTGTTCATGTTTAAAATATCATCCCTTCTAGATACTTAAAATTCATATTAAATATGTGCTTTCTCAAAGAGAATCTTTGGTCAGAGTGTGTTAATGTATGCAGTTACCTCCACATTTGTGTCCTGCTGTTCATTGTCCTTCATCCTCCAGTTAGTCTGGATATCCTTCAGTCATCCACATTCAGTCTCATGTAGGACTTTAGTCAAAGTATGATTTTTGAACACTTTGTAACTGTGCTTGTAAGTGGATTCAAATGTTTGCTAAATGTTGGATCTAGTTAATTTCTGAATATCTGATGTTGGTATTACAGTATATATATCAGTAGTGTTGCTAATATCAGTGAGACTACTCACATACTAAAAATTTTGCCCATGATTAAGTACTTACCTAAGTAAAACCATGTGTTTTGTGCATAACAGATGTGATTCCCCTTTCCTGATAGAACTACCTCCCAAAGAGCATGTACTCAGTTCACAGAATCACTTGATGGTAGCACCTGATCCAGCCTCCCTGCTCAGGCAGGGCCAGCCAGAGCAGCTTGCCCCAGGACCATGTTCTGATGGCTTTTGAGTATCTCCAAGGATGCAGACTCTACTACCTCCCTCTCCCTAGGCAACCTGTGCTAGTGTTCAATCAACCTCACAGTGAAAAAGTGTCTTGTGATCCTCAGAGGGAGCCTCCCATATTTCAGTTTGTGCTTATTTCCCCTTTTCCTGTTGCTGGGCACCACTGAGAAAAGCCTGGTTTCGTCCTCTTCATTTCCCTTCAGGCATTTCTTTACTTTGGTAAAATCCCC